TAGCCACGTCACGCACCTTCGATCTGGCTCACGTTCGTCCCGTCCAAATTCTACTAATTGCTCTTCTTTCCTCCCTTTTTCCCGTGGGAAATTTCTTCGAATTCCTTGGTTCACAGAGATTTTCTGTGGGAGATTTCAGACGTACTACGGTTCTATTTTCATCGATTTAAAAATACTTAACACTGTGATAAGAAAAAGATATTTGTCGTTTATCAGAGTGTTAGGTGTATTTTAAAAATTGGATTTTTTCGTTTTTTTCGGGGATAGACACGTCTGAGTACTGTTATCGTTGACGAACGCGAGCCAGAAGAGTTTTGAAAACTTCCCCAAGCCTCTTTTTTACACGGACTGGCGCGCGAACGCACACACGATTAATTCTGCTAAATTGACGAATCTCTCCTATCCTCCGGATCTTCGACGATCTCTACTCGTCGCTTCTTTTTTATTCTCGCCTCGAAAAGACAGGCGGTTATCTTTTGCTGCTGCTGCTTGCGTTTTATCCGCGATCGTGACTGACGCGTGACACGTATTCGCGGAATACGTCTGACGTAGGAAACGCCCGTCTTCGTTTCACCCCTTTTTTCGAGCTGTACGCCGTTGCAATCATTCTCGAATCTTCTGTTTTTCTGTCAATTTTTCTTTGAGAACGCGTTTCTTTTTGGGAGTAATCTTTGGAATATAAATCGGCACTTTGAGGTTTGATAGTTAAAACTTATTGTCAGTGATACAAAGAATGTTGAAGTCGTTAATTTTGGAAGCTTCAGATTTCCAAAAATTGGGCTTGAAATATTTTTGAAACGCTCAAAAAGAAATCTTTAGAAAGATTATTGAGCGTTGATAATTGAAATTTACAATCTTGATAAAGAAGTTTGGAACTCGTTAATTTTGGAAGCTTCAAATTTCCAAAAATGGAACGCGAAATATTTTTGAAACGCTCGAAAGGAAATCTCCGCAAAGAAGATTATCGAGCACTGCGCAATTCTTATTCTACTGAGCTGTTTATAATTAAAATTAATAATCTTCATAAAGAAATTTGGGACCGTCAATTTTGCAAGCTTCAAATTTCCAAAAATGGAACGCGAAATATTTTTGAAACGCTCAAAAGGAAATCTCCACAAAGAAGACGCGTGCCGATAATTAAAATTTACAGACAGTGATAAAGAAGTTTGGAACTCGTTAATTTTGGAAGCTTCAAATTTCCAAAAATGGAACGCGAATATTTTTTAAGCGCTCGAAAGGAAATCTCCGCAAAGATGTGTGCTGATAAGTAAAATTTATACTCAGTGATAAAGAAATTGTGAATTCGCCAACTTTGAAAGATTCCAAATTCCAAAAATGAAACGCGAAATATTTTTGAAGCGCTCAAAAGGAAATCTCCGCAAAGAAGATTATCGAGCACCGTGCAATTCTTACTCTATTCGACTGTTAATAATTAAAATTTATAGTCTTGATAAAGAAATGTAGAATTCGCCAACTTTGAAAGATTCCAAGTTCCAAAAATGAAACGCGAAATATTTTTGAAACGCTCAAAAGGAAGTCTCCGCAAAGAAGACGCGTGCTGATAATTAAAATTTACAGACAGTGATAAAGAATTGGCCAATTTTGCAAGCTTGAAATTTCCAAAAATGGTACTCGAAATATTTCTCAAGCGTTCCAAAAGGAAGATCACCGAACACTTTGCACATAATTAAGAACAATGTTTGAAATTTCCAGAAAACGACGTTTCGGATCTCCGCAAACAAGATCTCGTTCTCGATGAAAAATGATTACGCGTCGAGCTAGCAGAAAATTGGAAAATTGGCATCGGAGTGATCGCACGCCTGGCAGCCAGATCCGCGTCGAGATTATAATCGAGCCGACGAGCGGAACGAGGCGTTTTACCGCTGAATAATTTGAGGTCGTGTATTTCTGCGTCGTTTGTAAACGTCACGCGTTCCGGGGAGCTGTTTAGAAGTTTCCCCGGTTTTCCGCTTCTTTCTCTTCTCTCCGCTGACAAATCGACCGTTTTAAAGCGGCTGCCTCTCGCGCGTGCCATCCGCGAAACGGCCAAATTATCGCCGCCTCTGCTTCACACGCTCGCCCATTTTATCATCAAACACAATTAAACTGTCATAGAACGGCAATTATAATTGCCTCGACGGACGCGTATCTTTTTCCCCCCTTGCAATTCCTTTTCTTTCATTCCTCCTTCGACGTTACTCGCAGAAAAAAAGGGAAGTGAATACGTGAAACGAATGGACGAACGGGAGACAGCGAGATTCTTCGTCACGGAGAGCACGTTCGAATTTCCTTCGTTTCTATTACACCGTTTTGTTACAACTCTATTTAACAATCTACAGTTATCTACACACACTCTCGACTCTCGCGATATGCCTCGCGAGACAAACGTCCGTTTAAGATTTAGAGCTCTGGAACAACGTTTAACAAACACCTAATGGTCCGATACAGGAGGAGCGTTCGCGTTTCTTCAGCTAGCGTTTACGTTTAACTTCTCTTCTTTTTCCATTTTCCCCTCTTAATTACACGGTTAATCACCGCTCGCCGTTTACTGCCTACGATGAGCGTGCTTCGTCACTTTATACACGCGGCTGTCGTTCCCTGCGATCGACGATAACACCGCGCAGAAACTAACATGGAAAAGTGGAAAACAGGTAAACGAAAGGAATTCCAGAAAATTTCTGTAATATTCAAACCGGGAACGCGTCGCATTGTCGATAACTTGGGGAGGAATTGGCGAACGCACGAGGCCAGAGTTAATCGAAAAAATGCAAAAGCCTCGAATCGAAAACGAGAAAAAGAGAGAGAGAGAGAGATCGGGCAAAACTATTTCCAATACGGTTTCCTACCACTCCTTTAAAACTGGGCCACGGTTATCGAGGCGGCTCTTTCGTCCACAGTTCTATACACCAATATGGCGGAAAAGGTCGCGCGTGATTCTAATGACCGAGATCGTTTCGAGATGTCTGGCTGCAATATCCGCGCTGATCCAGCAGCGAGGTCGGCCACGTGTTTTGGATCCACGCCCATTCTCTGCATATGGGATTACATACTCTTTGTGCTATTGGCCGCGTAGCCGGACGAGAGAGGGCTGTTTCTTTCGTTGGTGTACGCGCGATACCATACCGTGTCGCAATAAAAATCCTGGCCCAGGACACGAGAAATCGAACCCCGGTTACGAGCAACCGACCCGTTCCAACCGAACGACTTCGATTCGAGGTCGACAGGGAGAAGAGGGAAAAAAGAGGAAGAATTCGAGGGACGGACGAGGTGAGAGAATATTAACCCTTTGAGCACTGTGACGGAGTGTCGATGTAGATTGCACGCGTGTGTCAAGCGGATAAGTGGTTTGGGTGTCGAGGTTTTCATCAAATTTTGAAACTTGCAATTCTATATTTGGTAATCGAAGTGTGATCTAGTTATCCTTTCTCGAAGAGAGATTTAACACTACAACTACCGACCGTGTCAAAACGACCCATTAGCATCTTTGGAGAAAACGTGAATGTTCAATACTGATAAGTGTTATCATTTGTACAACTTTCCGAATTTATTTTCTACAGGCATTGTACGATGCTCGACTCGTGAACGAGACTGTTTTCAGCTCGAACGCGGTTATCCCGGTGGCTTAATCCCGGAAGGGCAAAATTCTAGTAGTTGGTGTGGTGATGGTGAGAATATTTTTCAACTCGTTTATTTGCGGTGGTGCGTGGGTATATATTAGGTCGGTGCATGTTGTGATTGGTTGGACGTTGAAGGTGGTGGAAAAGAAGGACTCGAAAAATGCGGAGGTGCGATTGGATATTAGGAAACTAGTGGAAGGAGAACGCGAGGGTGAAGGTGGTTTGCGAAAGTTGAAATAATTTTGGGAAAACCCGGAATTGTCATACGAGGTTTCCTTTCTTGAGGCAAGATTTAAGGGTAGTTTTAGTGAAATTGCAATATTTATTAGTTAAAGTGTGATCTATTTATGTCACGAGGTTTCTTTTCTTGACAGAGTAAGTACTCTGGACAGAATAATTTTTGGGCTACTTAACACATTGTTGACCGGCAATTTTACGCAGAAGCTATCTCATGTCACCGGCTATTATTTCGTAATTGAATGTGGAATTGAAATAATCTAAATAAACTTCAATAAACTTCATTTATACATAATGAATTGAAATGAAACTTTGTACATATGTATCTTTTATATAACTTTTAATATAAAAGAAAAGCAAATTCTTAAATCGAAAAATTACGATTGCCGTAGTGCTATAAAGTTACTGCTGCTGCGAAACGAACTAACGGCTCCCGAGACTAATTACAAAGGCGAAAATATATACAATAGAAATACACGTTGATAAATTCCAAGGGTTGGGCGGCAGGTATACCCATCGAGGACTAAACAAGTAGAATTGCGATGAAAACCTAAATACCAAGAAAAGTATTTTCTTTAGAATAAAGCGGACACGACTAAACACGACGAACAAAGCTTTTGCAATATCCTATATTGCCCTGCGTTTCAAAAATTGAAACAGCTAATGCAAGTGCAAACACGAGTTAACTCGTGACCGGTCAACAATGTGTTAAAAAGTAATCAGTGGAATTTGATCTTGTTCCTTCCCTCAACTTTCATGCGCAATCTGCCGTTTGACAGTGAGATAATTTTACGAATTTAGCCTCGATTACTTCAGTTTCAGTGGTCGGTACCCAAAGGGTTGAAATTCGAAGGATAAATGCAGGATAGTAAAACGAACGAAATCAAACCTGATAAATCGAGAAAAAGCGACACTCTCGATCCTCGATCGCAGGAACGATACGAGAATTCTCTACTCGTCAGATCCACGAGGCACGAAGATTAGAGCCCCGTTCGATAAACTGCGACATCGCGGTTCGTTGATGATTCGCGACGGCCAAGAGATGGCCGTCCCCAAGCGATTCCTTCGCTGCTTCTCTTCGTTCTTGCAGCACATTTCCTAGGCGTTCGAGAGATTCCAGTAGTCTCGAGTGAATGGTCGTTCGTGTCACGAGGCGAGAAAACACGTGGACGTCGATCGAAGCAAGCTGAGAAGCGGCAGAATCGCGACCAGGAGGAAGCTCGACGACCTCGACAGACCACCGACTTTGTTGCTGTACGGCAACTTCACCGCCACTTCGGCCATCTTGAAGATCGACAGCAGCGGATGCGTGTGGACCTCGTGATACTTGTTGTTGATCTTCTCGCTCAGATCCTCCAGTATCGAGGCGCACTCCTCCTGCAAAAATTCAGGTTCATGTAAAAAACGTTCGCTCTAATATTGTCCTAATCGTAGTACATTTCAAACTGAAATTGAAATTTTAGTATCGTGTTGTTACACCCTCAAATATTTTCCTTCTTAGTCTTAGTTTTATCTGTATTTGCAACGAGTCACCCGCTTTCACCATTACTCTTCACCTTCCAACTCTCCTGCATAGTCACAACCCAAAGTCCATCTTCATTAAACCCTTAAACAGCCCTATTTTCTCCATTTCCGCGTTCATTCTCTGCTTTACCACGCGCACGTCGCGTAACGTCAAAATCTCCGTCGAATAAAGTTGTTTCCTTAAGTGTCTTAATTCAGCAATACCCCAATATCTGCTCCTAGTTTAGAGGAATTGGCGAAAACCGGGCATCACAGTGTGTTACTTAGAGTTTAGGGAAAATGATCAAATTTTAGCGTAAGCGGAAAAAATGGACGAAGTCGAGAAAAATCGAGGGTCAAAGAATTTTTGGATCGAGGAAGAAAGATCAATGTCACATTAAAGTCCATGTATGTGCAATTGAAAAATGATCGTAGTCCATTTTAGACTGAAATTGAGATTTTAGTATTTAGAGCTTAGGGAAAATTATCAAATTTTAGTGTAAGAGAAAAAAACGGACGAAGTCGAGAAAAATCGAGGGTCGAAGAATTTTTGGATCGAGGAAGAAGGACCAATGTCACATTTCTCCAATGGAAGAGTGATAAAAGTCCATTTAAATGCTCTAATATTGTCGAATGACTTTCTCATTGGAGTATGTGCAATTGAAAAGTACAGGGAAAGCAATCGTACTCCATCTCAGACTGAAATTAAAATTTTAGTATCCTGTGTTAATTAGAGCTTAGGGAAAATGATCAAATTTTAGCGTAAGAGAAAAAAACGGACGAAGTCGAGAAAAATCGAGGGTCGAAGAATTTTTGGATCGAGGAAGGACCAATGTCACATTTCTCCAATGGAAGAGTGATAAAAGTCCATTTAAATAGTGTTAGGGCTGACATGTCATAAAACCTTTCGCGTCTCCCTGACCGCCCAAAGACCCGTTACGCGCGGGCTACCCTTGGGCCTCACTCCCCCGCCATACCACCACCCTGCCAACTTGGAAATTCCAGGGTGGGCGGCATGCTCGCGGGCCAGGGAGGACCGTCCAAGAGGGTAGACCCGTCCTCATTGGCGGAAACCACCACCTTGTACCCGTGCACCCATAAGCGCACCAACGCGGCAGAAAGACAGATCAAAAAGGGAAAATGGACAAGTAGCACGTAACGAACACACACCACGTAAAATTGTCACTCTTCAACACAAAGCCTTTGTCTTACAACATATTAAAGTACGTGCAAACTCTAAGTCACCACGACTTCACACCAAGAACCACCGACAATCCTGCGCCACCACTCTCGAGCATACCGCTTGTTCGAAGCGCACGACGCAACAAATAGATTATTTCTAGGGATAAATAAATTTTCCAGCTGTGCAATTTTTGTACAAATCGAGGCTGCATTAGCATGTAACGCAGAAACCTTGTTACTACCGCTGTATAATAATACGAACGCCGGCAATGTCATTTCAGCTCAGCTTAAGCCCACGAAAAAAAAGTTACAATACGGTGCACTTTACATTCGCATTAATGATAATTCCACATAAAGTAAAATTCGCGTGCGTTCGCCATTACCGTGATGACTTCATTAAACGGAAGGATAACACGCCCTGGGAATGCTGGATTTCCTTTGTAATCAGAAATTAAATCACCGGGCTGCTGCGTAATACGACGGTGGTTGGGCCTGAAAATTCGCCGTCTTTGTTCCCGTCACAGCTATTGTGCGCGCAACCGTGTACACGCGGCTATTTCAGATAACAAGTGCTAATTTTTCCGCGGGCGTCGTTGCGCTTAAGCCGCGGCCGCAGGAAATTATACTAAATTAACAATAGCAGGACGCCTTTGTTCCGCGGCTACCGACCGCCACTTCCTCCTTATAAAACGTCTCTTCGGCGTTAACGAACTTCCGTTTTCTGTTTGCAAGGAAAACCTTCGACTCCCCTTCATTTCTCCCAAGTACAGAATCTGGGGAGAGATTTATCGAGGACTATTTGCAACACCAGCCAACGAGAAATGAGTGCGTGTGGTTACAGCAAAAACGATCGACATACGAAACGAACGGACGCTGATATTTACTTTTTATTCCTTCGAGTCTCGTCGAGCTCTTATCATTGCCAAGTGACTTCCTCGCGTGCAAAATAAACGATAGTTTTACAATCGAAGTACCACATTTGAAGATTTCTTTCCTGAAAAGTTTCTGCGTTCCTGCGTCGTCGACAGATTGCGTAATTTCAGGGTTGGAGGGAAGATTCGAGGGTTGAATTATGGTGTTCTTTATAGTCACGAGGTTCTCGATCGTTTCTCTTTGGATTCAGACGATAAATTAAAAATCGAAACAGCACGTTATGGCGTCGTGAGTGAAGTAAAAGACCGACCAATACGTAGTAGGGGTATCAACGGAGACCGCAATACGAACAGACGAAGACACGACAGCGACAAGGGACAAAGCGTAGGCACACACCACGCGCCTAGAGAAGACAGTTCAGTCCTTCGCTAGACGCCGAACTTATCTTATTAACCCTTTCGCGACGGCGGAACTAGCCATCGCTACGCCACTAACGAACGGGTTGTCGTGCCATTTCTAGTGTGTCCGCGTGAAATCTTAGAGGATTTCGTTGGAACTTATTCTGTATTTTAACACGTTCGTCGCCCAGCGTGAATCGGTCGAGTTTCTCGCGGGGCCCAAATCTGATAGTCGGAGCGCAAGAACGTAAACAGAGCGATTAGCTGGAATTTGCGTTCTATGTTACCAGAAGAGGAGACAAATTCTCGAACGCCAGGAAGCGAGAAAAAATGTAAAAAAGACCAACATATTGTCCCAATTGTCCAAAATCACCAGAAATGTGTTCGAACTGTTTTAACGAATACCATGCTACGTAGTATAATGTTGTATTTTATTTTAAATATAAATTAATGTATAGTATAATATAGTGTGATATTCCATTAAATTCTTGTGTTATATGGATTTTTATAAATTACTTGTGAAATCCTATTTAACTTGACGAAGAAGAACGTCACCCATATGTGGGTGACGGGGCCCCCACGGAAGCATACGATGAACGTGTTAACACATTAAGGACCGCTCACGAGTTTTCTCGTGTTTCGCGCCCCATCTGTCACGAGTTTTCTCGGACTGTTACGGATGGATCACGAGACAAACCCGTGTTTTCTACACGTTGTCTTTAGATGTCAATTACTTTGATACATTGTATCTACTTTGCCCATTTAAGTGTTTATATCAATAGTCAATGTATTAACCGTTTTCGTCTCATCAATCCCATTGGTGGAAACCGTACAGGTCAAGCTATGAAAGACTGTATAAATGCACGAACCCGAAATAAAAACAGCTTAGTCTCAGAGAAAATTCGACACGTTGCATTACATTTTGGTGATTCGAATAGTCTTCGTCTTCGAAGCGAATCAAGATATATATATATATGTAAATTTTGTATGGTTCCTCTTCATAGAGAAAAATGTTTCACGCAATATCATACTTTAAAAAAGTACTAGAAACTTTGGTAAAATTGATTTTTAAATAAAATTTTATGATAATTATTAAAAACCAATTTTTTTTAATAATTGCCTAAAATACATCCTATTTTACAATTTCTAAAAATTTCGTAAAAATTTATTTTTTAAGTAAAAAAGTTATGATAATTATTAAAGAACCTAGCCGTATGTCTTATAGATTTCTTAGCGGTCCTTAATGTGTTAAAATAAATCTTCACAATGCGACGCCGGATATAACCGGCGCTAGCCAGTGTGAAGCATTTAGTGGGTGCCGGATATAACCGGCGCTAGTCGCGAAAGGGTTAAAAGTAGCGTAGAATATTGAGTTTATTTATTTATAACCTACCAACCACGCTTTAATGTATCGGTCTAAATCCGAAGAGAAACGATCGAGAAACTTGCGAGTACAAAGAATCTTCCTCCAACCCTGAAATTACGCAAATTCTCGAGGACGCAAGAACGCAGAAACTTTCCACTTACAACAACAGAGAGAACCCCGGGACAGCGTAGATTGGAAATGTGTGACGTTAACAGAAACTCGGAATACAACTGTGTTGGTACTTTATCAAGGGTTAAATTTAGAAGTTCCGAGAGTTCCCATTAGGCAAAAGAGCCAGGTTGCCGCTCGAATCCTCATTGTCCAGTCGGCAGTAACCGAAATTATTTCTGACCTAATTTGCCTCTCGGCGTAAACACTAGAGCGAGATAAAAGCCAGCTGAAAGATTAGCGAACCGTCCTACTCCCTGTTCCTCGCTACAGCCTACCAGCTCACCCTTAACGCGATTTTAATTATCTCCCCCCCCCCCTCTCTCTCTCTCCCTTCGACAGAACCGAGGAATAATTAGCCCCGGTTTAGGTTCCAAGGTCACGGTCGCATTAACTCCGAAGGGCGTTCCTATAAAGTTTTTCCATCTCGTAAGACGTTGCGAAACCCGTGGTCCCCCTTTTATAAAACAGTCTTCCTCAACAGGATCCCTCGATTTCGACTTAACGACGCCGAATGTAACTCTCGGTCCTCTTCTGCATCGATTTCCATTTTCAAACCAACCCCTCTTTTCTCTTCCTTCTTCCACCGAACGCGAGTCACTCTCTCTCTTTCTCCTATCTCTTGGTATTACGTCGTTTTTTCTCCAACGTGCTTCCTACTTCTTCCTTGTTTCACGTCCCCGAAATTACCCTCGGCTCGTTGAATCTTTAATTTCCGGCAGAGGCGAGACCTCCGAGGCCGGAACGATTTTTCGGCGATATTTTCACCGAAGGGCTGCGCTCGCCCCACGTGCGCCACGTGGCGCGACTAGAGCGTCCCGGCTCCTGGCGACGTCACCGGCGTGTCGTTGGTTCGTTTCGCCGAAGCATCGAACGTCGGATTTTCA